TAAGCGAAATACGCGATGAGCCTTTCGTCAGATGGCCAGCTAAGCTAGGAGAAGCACAGAAGGACTATGACGAAAGATCGCGATGCACCTTTCACAAAGAAAAAGGGCACCGCACTGAGAATTGCACGCCATTGAGACAACACTTGGAAGAGTTAGTGGCAGCAGGCCACTTGGATAAATATATTGAAGAAGGGACGCAACAAGCCCCCCAAGATCACAATAACCCCAACGGAATGCCAATCGACGCCCCACCTCAAGGCATTATCAATGTAATACATGGAGTCTTTGAACCTGAGCGTGTATGCGAGCTCAGGGGATCAATCAAGAAGGCTGAGCACTTTAGAGAAGTGTTAAGTGCACAACCTGTCATCAAGAAGGAGAAGACAGAGGCAACAAATGTTATGTCTTTTTCGGATAAAGACTTGGATCGAATATACTGTCCTCACAATGATGCCCTAGTCGTCACTCTCCGAGTCAAGGATTTTGACGTCAAGCGGATTCTGATTGACCAGGGTAGTTCATTTGAAATCATGTACTACGACACATTTAAACAACTGAAGCTACAAGACAAAGACTTGGCGCCTGCAGTTTCTCCCCTAATTGGATTCAACTCCATGCCAGAGTGGCCCGTCGGCAAAATAATTCTTCCGGTCAGAACAGAAAGCGTAACAAAACAAGTGGAGTTCTGGGTATTGAAGGTCCCCTCCACTTACAACATCATCTTGGACAGAACATGGCTGCACGCCATGCGTTCGGTGGCGTCATCCTACCATCAGGTAATGCGGTTCCCCAACGACACCGGTATAATTGAAGAAGTCTATGGAGATCAGATCATGTCAAAACAATGTTTCGCCACGGTAAATGGCAGCCGCGCTGCCAAAGGATACGTTCATTCGGTGGAGGAACCTGAAAGTAATGAACTATTCGCGGACATCGGTAAAGAGGCTGATCAGAAAGCGGTGGAGGACTTGGTGGAGGTAAAAATAGATGAGAAGAACCCGGATAAGTTCTTCTTGCTTGGCTCATCGTTGTCCAGCGTTGAGAGATTAGAGGTCTTGGAATTCTTGACCTCTAACATCGAAGTATTTGCCTGGACGTCCTACGACATGCCAGGCATTGATCCAAACTTCATCAGTCACCAACTTAATGTCCACTCATCCGCCAGACCAGTCATTCAACGCACACGCAGATCGGCACTCCACCATGCCGAAATAGTGGCGGAAGAAGTAGGCAACCTGCTGGAAGCAGGAGCAATTAGAGAAGTGCACTACCCAAGATGGATCTCCAACACAGTCGTAGTGCCAAAGAAAAATGGCAAATGGCGAGTCTGCGTTGACTACAAAACAGTTAACAAGGCCTGCCCAAAAGATAGCTTTCCTCTACCAAGGATAGATCAACTGGTGGACCTGACGGCAAGGCACAACCGACTTAGCTTTCTGGACGCATACAGAGGCTACCACCAAATCGCCATGCATGAACCAGACCAGGAGGTCACATCTTTTACAACTCCAAGAGGACTATACTGTTACAATGTCATGCCCTTTGGCCTAAAGAACGCAGGGGCGACATTCCAACGGATGGTCACCAAGATGTTTGAACCATTGTTAGGCAGAACAAAGGAGGCTTACATCGACGACATGGTGGTCAAAAGCAAGGATGAGAATGACCATCTTAAGGACCTAGGCGAGATGTTTGAGATCCTGAAGAAGCACAAGTTGCGCCTCAATGCGTCCAAGTGTGTGTTCGGTGTAGGATCAGGCAAATTCTTAGGCTTCTTGGTGACCAATCGAGGCATAGAGGCAGACCCCTCTCAAATTA